CAGGGTCGACGGGGAGGCCGAGGAGCGCAGGCAGAGGGCCATCGAAGAGGTAACCCGCCCGCCATCCTCGGCTCAGGCCAGCGAGGGGGGTCAGCTCCGGCAGTGCGACGGCACCCCCCGGGAGGCTTGCCTTCAAAGCCACCCTCCGTCCGCTGGAGGACGGTGGAGGACAAGTGGAGATCCAGAGGGTCTTTTCATGCCCGCCCAAGGCAAAGAAGTGGAAAACCTCTGCCCGGTGCCCAGCCAGCTGCGGAGAAAGGAGCACGTTCCTGCTCAAAATCCACTCAGCGTCAGAACCAGTGTCGGTTTTATGCAGGAAAATATCGCACCTTTCTCTTCTTGAAACCCTGACCGTTTTCCCCCTGCCCGCAAGTTGGTTGTCCCCTGCAAAGGGTGTCCCTGCCGTTAATACGCCTCCCATCCTTTCTTCTTAGTTCTTCACCAAAAGCATCATTGTTCCGTCCCCCTGGACCGATCCCATCGGGAAACAGGCTTCTCAGCTGAATTCAACCAGATGTAAGTAGTGCCCTCCGTGCCGGAGGCGGGAGGTCCAGCTCAAGCTGCGTCATTGAGGACTGGGGGTAGATGGTTGAGATGGCCTGGACTGTTAGTTTCAGGGATCTCCAACCTGCACAGCTTGGCAGGCAAAAAAAAGTCTGCCCTCTTTGCTTGTCAGGCCATCCTTGCTAAGCGAAAGGAAAAAACCCTTTTGCATATTTGCACTAAGAAAAAAGAAAGCCTGGTGGGTTTTCTCCCAGATCCTAATCTCACACAACACCAGCTAGGATGCAATAACTGGAGCTGCTGATTCTGAGTGGTTAAAGTCGTTTGCGTGTCATGCCGAAGGCTCTTCCCCCCCCCCCCCGAGTCTGGTGGTTCTTATTTCTATGAGCTGAACTCAGCCTGACTGCCAAAACATAAAGTGAGAGGGTGTGTTTCGCATTGTCGCTACACATATGCAATGTTTCTTACGCCTTCCATGTTAATATTTGAGCTGTTCACTAAGAATTCAATAAATTGCAGGTGTTGATCTAAATGACGCTTCGCCGGTTGGCCGAGAAATAGTCGTGCAGCCTGGGAAAAATAACGGTGTGTATGAGGCATTTGGAGGAAGAGAAGGAACTCAGGACCTGAAGCCGCCTGGGGCGGGGGAGACAAAACATGCATTTCGATGGGGTGATACACGTAGAGAAGAGGAGTGCTTCCCTTGCTTCATCTTCCTTTGCAGTCCAACATATGTGCTTTTTGTGAGAGGCTAGTTCCTGTCTGGCCTACAGCCTTGGAATTCCTGGGGAGTTGCCATTCAAGGACTTACCAGGCTGACCCTACTTACCTTCTGACCAAGCTGAATTCTTGCCAGTTTGTTCCAACCTTCTTGGACTCTGGTTTGTTGTGACATCTGAAAAGAGTTTAAACCAGAGAGTGTTTTAACTGCCTTGATCCTGGTGAGGCAGCCCTGATGCTCTATTTTTTTCCTTCCAGCTGCTTGCCAGACTGTATTATCTCTACCTGTGGACTTTGACATGGAAAAAATACTGGGTATGTAACTTGTAAAACTGGGCATCCGCTCTGTAGGCTCTCTATAACAGTCTAAAACAGCTGTGACTGGAATGGAGATGTTATACTTGTAATAGTAGATCAGAAGCACACTGCATCGGAAGGAAGGCAGGCATAACAATATAGAGCAAGTCTGAGGGGTGGCGTAAGGGCGTGTAACTTCATGGGATTTGGGCCTCTCCTACTTCTTCTCTCTATAGCTTTTCCTTTCTGGGCAGAAATTGAGCAATGCAGAAGACAGGGAAACGTGTCCATTCTTACCTGGCTAAATTCCTGTCCACCAGCTGCAAAATTCCTATTAAATTTCCTCTAACCCTAAACAGGGCAAGGCCAAGTGCATTTCTGTGCTTTGTCCTTTCTCCTTGTTTTATGCTATGCGACCGCTATAACGGTCAGGTTTGATTTGCCCTTGCAGGGAAGTGAAGTCCTTGACTGCAATGGTCACGTGTGCATCTCTTCTGTCCTTCAGGTGACTATTTTAAAGCCGACGAATTGGCTGACCAGTCTCAGGAAAGCCTCAGCACTTCCTCGTTGAGGAGAAAGCTCTTTCTAGATGAGAATGGTAGCCTCTCCTCGGAGAACCCGTCCCCTTCCCCAAGCCTGTGCAATGCCCCGGCCTCCCTCGGCGTCCTCTGTTCCATCGATCTCTCCCCGGTGCGCTGCAGAAGCCCCCTGAGTTCATCCAGCTCAGTGAGTAGCTCATCCCGGCCGTGCGGATCAGCACAGGGTTATTTCAGTGCATCACTAAATGGCAGCTGAGACAAGCCCAGCTGGTTTTGGGCTGAAGAGCCAAAGAAATCAGTCCTGGGTGACTGAAATCCCCGGCTTTCCGCAGACTGGCTGTTAAACGTGACTGAAGCTAGATCAGCTCAGGCTATCCGGCAGGTGGTGGGTGGATGGGAGTTCGTTCAGAGCTGCACGTGTTGCCATCTGTCCTCCCAGAAACGTCCAACTGAACCTTGAGGGCACATCGCAAGCTGAGACCACGTGCCGTATTTTGAACATAGAACGTGCAGGCGGCTGGTCTTGGCTCCGAGGACAGAGGGTGACTTCTGAAAGCCAAAGGGTGCCGGTTTCCCTGGCGTTGATTTAGATGCAGTCTGTGATTTCATCTTGATGGGAATTTTTCTTGTGCTCGAAAGGGCCAACTTTCCTCCAGCCCCATCCGGGGACATGCAAGGGCGTGCAGTCTGGGCAGCCTACCCAGCCCTTCGTTGGCAAACAGGAGTCCGGCGAATCTTGCTTCCCCGGCGTTCTCTCCAGTTGGTATCCAGCTAAGGAGAACCCCACTGGCAGGTACACCTTTGGGTTTGTAGCCACCTCTTGGCGACGCTGGAATGAGGGTCGCAGCACCACACCCCCAGGAAGGACCAGACTGGACCAGTCTGGATGCGCCTTTCAATCTTTTCTAACAGGTGGTGCGGCTGTTGGATCCGCGGGGAGGGGGTTTGGTGCAATTCTCAGGCCTCCTTAAAGGCCGTTTGTTCTCACGTGGTCCTAGAAAACCATGTGACTGACTTCAGGGGGCCGCTACCTTAATGGCAGGGCTGTTGCTCATGCACGCTTGGCGTAACCTCCCCGTGGCATTTTTTCCTCTCCCCAATGCAGATCAAAGGCAGTTTACTTTCCGCTCTCCAGACCTTCCTTCTGCTTCCAACGCCTGCCGCCCGGCTCCCACCAGCGCCAGGAGTCCCTACGTGGAATGCTCTCCGCTAAGAAGTCCCTCCCCCGTGAGGCTTCTGTCCTGCCGGGGAGCTGTGCTGTATCAGAGCTCCCTCCTTTGCCTCCCTTGCACCCCGGAGAGCCTCCAGGAAGAGCTGGCAGAAGCTGCCACAGCCTTGCCCGCAGGGAGTCCTGGGGCACACCTGCCCCCTCTGAATGGGGGTGTCTCCTCGGCTGGGCCCTGCTTGGCGGTGGCTGCCGTCTGTCTCTCGCCGGCACCCCCCGAGACCTGCCCCCAAGGGTTGGCGCCGAGGCCCAGCTTGGACTGTTCCAGGGAGAACCGGACGGTGGACATGGCTGACCCTGAGACGCTGGACGAGAACTCGGTGAAGGGATCGGTTGAAAGCGAGGGGGTGCCTGTGGCTGGCTTGAGCATGGAGGGCTCTTGTATCTGTCTGGCTCCCCTGGCTGAAAGCAGCGCTTCTCCCTGCGAGAGCAGCAGCCTCCAGGTGAGGGCGAGCCCAGCACCCAAGGTGCTCTGGCCCCGGGCCCCCGTCTCATGGGACCTACTCTGGTCCCAGGCTTTACAAGGGGATGGAGGAGTTTTGGTAGGAAACGGGAGCAGGCTGGTCTCGGTCTAGCTGAGCCTTTTCTCAGTACCAGAACTTTCAGCTCTAGGAAGAACACTTCCCGTTTTATTTACGGTCAAAAGGCCCAGAAGCCTAGGGGGAACAGGAAGGAAGCTCTTCAGACCTTCCTGCCCAAAGCCCGCGGGTGCTGAATGCAGCAAAGCTCCTGCGGTCAGAGAGAGGAAGGTGCTTCCCAGCTTCCTTGGGGGGCAGATAAATACCCTTTTCACCCTTCCCCAAATGAAAAGCTGTAGGATTGTCCTATAGAGGGAGTGTTACATATGCCACGGTGGAAGGAAGATCCCTCTTCAGGGACATTGCCCCATTTCCACCGGCCCCTTCCAGCAGGTAAGCAACCTGTGCAGATTTGCGCTAGGCTGCAGAGACTGGTGGGCGATCCCACTGCACGTGCCACCCAGGCCCCTCTGGCGTTTTGAGAGGGGGGGAGAGCTTTCTAGGAGTTCTCTTTCCAGGCGGCTGATCCATCGCTTCATCTGGTCCCACTGAGAACCATCAGATTGTGGGGTTGGAGGGAGCTTGAAGGCCTTCTAGTCCAGCCCCCTGCCTAGTGCAGGAATAATTACTTGTACGCCCCGATTCCTTTTTGGCAGATGGACAGTGGTTACAACACCCAGACTCACACCAGCAGCCTCATGGATGCAGCTGGAGCCGAACTCAGCTGCAGAGAACACGGGGCGTGGGAGGCCCAGAAAAAAAACCACATTTTCAGAATGAAGGTAAGTGGGCCAAGGCTGCTGTTCAAAGCTGGAGTTACACTGGACAGTGTCTTCGGTTCTCTGAGCGCTTGCTTTGGGCAGAAGTCTAGGCAGAGGGGGATGTTGAAAAACCTCCCAGTTTGATCCATCTTTACCGTGCAGAAAGCCCAAGTAATTATGACCACAACCGAAAACCCCTGGGAACCTTGTGCAAAAGTTGACTTGGCTCATGTCCCATCTTTTGGGTCTCCTCTTCCCTTCCCCCACCCCCAGCAGGAAAAATCCAAAACCGGACACCGGGCTGAAAGCGCTTGTCAATCCGGCAGCCTCCTCCTAGAGGTGCCTTTGTCAAAATGACCCAGGCAGGCATAGTCGGGATCTACAGAGACTGCCCACCACGGAGCTGAAGGTCTCTTCAGAGAGGCACGTTAGGAGCGGACTGGCACGTTTGCCTTCCTGCAGCTGAAGGGCAACAGAACACCAAGACTTATCTGCCTGCCCACAGCCACCAAGCTGGCAGGATGTTGCGGGCTCGGCTCGTGCCCTCGGATCCTCCCAAAGACTAGGGGGTGGTTGGAAATGCTGCTGCTGTGCCTCAGCGTGGCTGCCTGCGCTGCTCCTTGGCGCACTCAGTTACAGCCAGTCATTTCTCAATGGGCAAATCATGGGGCTCACCTCACCAGACAGGCACTTCCTTACTCTACTGCCACCACGCAGAGAGATGTTCTGGTCTTGTGGTGGAGGTTAACTGTTTGGAAGTGGGCATAGCCAACTTGCAAAATGGTGCGGAAGAACAGCAGTAATTATCTCGTTTTCTATGAAAATAGATTGTATTTGTTTAAAAGAATGCTCTTTCACATCTTGTTGACTATGCTAATAATCTATATTATGAGACCAGTGAATTTTTAATAAAGTACTGCTTTTTCCCATTTTTTAAAATTTTATTACCAATGCAAAACAAAGCGATACGTGTTTCAACAGAAGCCTGGAAAATATTCCTGTTAGAATAAATAAACCTTTTGCACAAAAACACATTGTATCTACTCATTTTTAAAAATACTGGATTGAAATCATTTTGAAGGAGATGACAGTGGTCTCCCTGTGCAACTTGCTATACTTGGAAAATGAGCCATGGAGTGGATTCAGAGACTCAATTTTACAAAATGTTTCTTTTTTGTTGTTTGTTTTTAAGTACTGTGGTTATGCCAAAGGCAGGCAACTTCCCCTTCCCCCTCCAATTAAAACGGTCATTTTAGATTGGCTGAATGGGGCGGGGGTCTAATTTTGATGGGCAAGTGTCAAGATAAGCCATAGAATCTCCAACACCAGCTCCACTTTATTTTTCTACCCTTACAGGAACTATTGAAGATGTGCAAAATACTGAAGCTAAACATCATACATTAATTTTTTTAAAAATCCAAAATAGCTGTAACATCATCTTTTGCTGTATTTCAGCCCTGCTATGAAAAAACTCAGATGCTGCGTGGGAAAGTTGTTGGGACTCTGTAACACAGAAGGCATTCATTTTACTTCACTTTAACTTTTCTTCCACAGATATTTTAGTCCATCCCTCCCAAGTAGCTACAAACTGGATTTTCTTTATAGCACTCATTAAATAAGTTAATTAAATAACTGAGGGTTAGTAATTTCATCTATAACAAGATAGTTGCAGATTAGAAAAATAGAAGCACAAATTGAGAGTCAGAAACTTAGAACTTCAACTGTCAACCCTTTGGGATTTTGCTCCTTCCAATTCATCCTCTCAAGCTCCACTTGTTGTCTTTTAGCAAATGGAAGCAGATGCTCTTCTTAAAATAGAGTAACATCGCAAATACTTTAATCACTATCAAGGATCTCCATACCATAAAAACAAAAGTCATCTGAGCCTGAAAAACAGAGACATGAACGTGGCCTTTCCTGGCTGGCCTACAATTCTGATCTGTGGCAATCATATCGATCCTACTGTTCATTGTTCTTCTTTTACAACGTTTTCTTTTTTAGAAAGATGGGCCAAGGGATTGACTAACAGTTTAAAAGATTTTAGAAACTGGTTTTGTTTTGCTGACAAAAGGGGATCCAAATGAAAAAGCTGGAATATGCAGCGAAAGTTCTATGTACAAACCTACGTATCTCCTTTGTCATGGAAATGTTAAAACATTGTGTCCTTCTGTAGATGGACCCAAAAGCTCCCCAGAAGTTCAGTTTCACATTGGAGTCTTTAATAAGAAAGATGAACAAGAGTATGTAAATACATTATTGGGGGAGATTTTTAAAACGGGCAAATGTCAACCAATCTCTTTAAAAGTCTTTTCTACACGTGTAAAGGATTATCCCCCCCCCCTTTTTTCCCAGACATAATTTACTTCCCAACCAAACAACTGATTCATTTCTAAAATGAAGCTATTTTCCCAGTTTCTTCTTTTTTGTCTCTGGTTCTTCATTACCGCTTAGCTGTGTGGCATCACTGGGATCACTGGAGCCTAAAATCTGAAAAATAAGAAAATCAGGTTAGATGAAATTGAGGAAACATCAGAGATAGGGGTTGTTTGTTTTAAAAAAGCTAGCTTATCAACTAACTTTAAAACAAGTTTTAAAATCTCAGGTGAAAATATCCTTCAAAAAGCCTCAGTTCGTAAGCGAATGCTCCCTCTAGACCTCCGTTCAAAACAATGGCCTCCCCCCAAAAGGCCAGAAGGTGCACGCGGCTTCCCAGTGCTCCTTTTTAGGACATTTTTGGGGCTTCCCCATCCGGCAGGGGTTTACTGCAAGGCCTGTAAAGAAGCAGGGTTGCTTCAGGTGCCCCCACGCTGCCTTCCTCCATGATCACCAGCAGCCTACCTTGGGCTCTACCAGAGTCATACGGATTTTCTGATGCTGAATGTTGGAAGAATCCAGCATGATGCTGACTTTAACCTTGTCAAATGTACAGAAAGTTGTGCCTTCCACAGTAAGCGAAGGAATCTATAGAAAAAACACATTTAATATTTCCAGCTTAGGAAGCGCTGCTTAATTGTCGTAGAGACCTTTGCAGTCCTAGATTACACTTTATGCGCTTAAGGAAAAAGAAGTGTTTTTCTTCTTTACAAAAGAAAGCTGTACCTCATCGTTGTATACAAGTCCTGCTTTCGGCTTAGCCTTTTCTTCAAAGAAAACTGTGCCTTCTAAACCGTATTTGGGAATCAGAACCACAATTGCGTTCTTCCTGACGAACAGAATGTAGGCCTCTTCACTGACCGCACCCTTGTTTTTGAAAAACAACTGGAGGGAAAAGAAAGTTTAAGCCGTCAACACACAGCCTTTGTCGGCCATGTCGAAGAAAAAAGAGAACCCTTCTTGTTCATAAAACCACCCCTGTGTAACATGCATCCAACTCTACTCCAAGCACTTGGAAACGCTGCCACAATGCCTGGAAATGCTGAATTACAACAGGGTCACCCCCAAACAATTTGCCATTCTGCTGACCGACAAGAGATTAGCAGGGACACTGTGAAAAAGCTGCACGAGAGTCCAGATCAGGATTTCTCAACCTTGGCCACTTTAAGACGGGTGGACTTCAACTCCCAGAATTCTCCAGCCAGCATATGCCATCTGGAGAATTCTAGGAGTTGAAGTCCACCCGTCTTAAAGTGGCCCAAGTTGAGAAACCCCGGTCTAGATGAACACACCGTCATTGCAAGGCAACAGATCTTGAGCCGCCCTCGGGATTCCCATTTTAACATTCCACCCTTCCTCAACCTTCAGGGGCCGAGAGCAGCTGTTCACCTGGGTGTGGAAAGCAACGGAAGCTCTCTGAGCATACTGAGCCATTTTGTGCCGATAATTGAGATTTTTACACAAATCTGCCAATTTATGTTTGTCAGTGAGGTCGGGGTAAGTACCGTCCACTCCTATAGCCACCGCCAGTAGTCGATGTACTATAATATCAGCATATCTGCAACGAGATAAATGAAGATTTTTTACTGAGAAGAGCCCACAAACACTTTTTTAGGGTATGTCATCCCCAAACTGAAGACTGAGGTTCTGCAACAAGGATTGTCCTCAGCATTTGTGGCAGAGCTCTTAAACCTCCACGTACAGGAACTAAGATAAGTGCTAAACTCCTGGAGATCCAGAGAGACGGTCAAGGGGCAGTGGTGGGGAATCTGTGATCCAAAAGAGACTGCAGGATTCTGAGAGGGACGTCTTTTAGGGTTCACGCTGGAATAGCTTTTGCAAGGGGTTGGGGAGAGGACAACTTCCCTTTCCCATTGCAGCATAACCTCAGAATGTCAGACAACCGAAGCAACAGTGGGACGCTGACTCGTGTTGTGGCCTTCAATAGGATAACATTACTATCAAATCGGACAGGCCTAATCAATGTAACAGCCTCACTTAGCATTTCCTGAGGAAAGGTCACAGGCAGCATTACCTTCTGATTGGAGAAGTAAAGTGAGTGTATATGGGCGACGCTAAGCCATAGTGGTGAAAATCACTGTCCATTCCAGAGCAAAAATAAACGGCCTGCATCATGCAGCGAGTGGCTAAGATCCGTAACAGGGTGTTCAGATAGGGAAAGGAAGGAGACTCTGCTGTGTCAAGGGAATCAGCCAGAGCTTTTGCAGAATCAGTCTTGATTTCTAAACCCTAAAGTGGAAACATAGAAGGGGGTTTCAAAATAGTTTCACGACATTTTGCATACGTATCACGTGTATTGCAAATGGATGGTGCAATCCAGGAACACGAGGCTCCGTTCCTGACACCAATCGGAGAAAGGCGGCCGTGCCAACGAAGGCTATGAAACACGGCACGCTTCGAGGCAACTTGCAGATTTAACTGGGCTGCGCCTCTAAAGCTAGTTCAGTGCCAGAGTGAAGAAAGAGTCACACCAGGTGGCCCAAAATGTCCTGACCCTGTTTGCAGGAAAGGTAATCGATGATTCAGGGAAGCCTATCCACGCAGGGAGCCTTCCACGTGTAACCCCACACCGCCAGAAGACCCTACAGAGCGGCCTGCCTTAGATTTTGCGGCCTTCACCAGGATGTCGTAATTGGATGGAGGCGGAGCAGGGTGCTTTCTCAGCAAGGCATGCTCTGAAAATTCTTCGTTGATCTTTTGGGCGACGGAGATGTTAGCGAGCAGCATAAACTCTTCAACCATGGAGTTGGTGTCTCTGCAAAAGGGAAGCGGAGGCTCCTGAGACTCCAGGAAAAGAGCCAGCCTCGACCTGGCACGTCTGTTTTCCCTATGGGGACGAACTGAAAGCAAGAAAACTCCTGCGGGAGCACCCATATCAGGATCACCTTGGCCCTGGAACCAAACGCCGTGTCTTTTACGCGCTCCGGACAACACAAACCAGCAGGGGGGCGTCCAGGTCCTATCAGTGGCGCTAACTCTTCCCCTCCCAGGACCTCAGGGGCTCAATGACACACCAATCTCAGGGTGCCACCCGCAGGTGCCCGGGGCTTCTGGCTGCCCAGGTGCCCAGGCGAGCCGCCTCAGGCATTCGCCAATCGTTTAGGGCAGCATCCAGTTTGGGAAAGGCAATGCTTTAGAAGGCTGCCGGTTCTGTTCAAACCCTGACGCTCAAACCCTTATAAGACTGGTCCCGTCCCATTGGCAGGGCAGGGAAACAGTGAAGTATGGCTTCACAGGATCCCGTTTTCTGGCTGGCTTGGGACTGACTCCAGTGACGTCGATCCCAGAACAGCCCAAAGGGCACTGTGAGAAATTTAAAAGGGCTCCTTGGACAACAAGCAAGAATGCGATATTAACTGCTGTGACGTGGATAGTGCCCCAATCCCGAATAAGCCTATCCAACAGCTGGGCTCACATGTGGTATCAAACCACAGTTTGAGTTAAAATTCCCAATGACCTGGTTCACGCATGACACTAAAACACATTATGACTTCAGCACACTGGGCCAATCTGAACATTGTTAGGAAACGCGGCATCCTAAAGATGTAGGACGAAGGAACCTCTGGCCCACGAAAGAAATGCCAGGCACTTACTTCAGTTCCTTTGTCTGCAAATCGATCGGATCATGGGTTTCACTATCGATGTGGAATCGTACTTCAGGTGAAGAAAGAGTTAAAGCCCTAGAAAACAAGATGAACAAAGCAAACGGTTTACCCCAAAATACAGGTCTTTACAATGATCACAAAGGGACTCCCGCGTCCACCGCCCAATTCCAGAGAGAAAGCAGATCTATTTGAGGAGAGACGGGCAACTCTACCCGCACTTTCCAGCCCTCCTGCATCCCGAGACCCGTTTTGCATGGACTCGTTCACAAGTGGCCCCCACGCATTTGTGGAAAAACCCAGAGAAGAGCAAGAGGCTGGAGCAGGTTCTGAGAAGCGCTCTTGGCTGGCTTCTTAATCCTCTCCAGCGGCCTCCTTAAGGCCGGACTTCTGGCTTCATACATCAAATACGTTTCTCCTTTCGGTTGTCCGCCATGGGAGATCATCCACGGCTGGGCTCAGGATACCTTTCAGAGAAATGAACTTATTTCCACTGATCTGATTGTGTTAGAAGTGCCCAAAGAGAGCTCTGAGGAAATTCAGTATAGAGTCTGAAAAGCTTTCCTTCTTTCAGCTGACAGCCTGCATCACCTCGGCAAATACTAGCCAGGCGTTGAGGACTGCAACAGGTCAAGAAGGAGAAACTGCTTTGCGTTACCTGTAGCCTGAACTGCCTACCCTTTTTCTCGCCGACGTTTCTTAAGGATTTTAGCCAACCTGTTCAGCCCACGCAGACTAGTAGTAATGTCATCGTTCAAAGCGGCTGAATCTATTTTCATTTGTGCCTCGGCATATGTAAGCGAAGCCTTCAAAGGACAAACCAAACAAAAGCAAAACAAGAAATGTGAGCAAGGGAGACAATCTCTAAAGGTGACTGATTTAAACATGACCAAAGTCAAACACAAGATTTCTGACGCAGGTATCTGCTTGAGACCTCACAGCCCAAGGCTGCTGGCTGGGTGATTGGGGAAACACAATTTGTTTTCAGTTTATTTTCATTCTGTCCTTCTGCACCTCCATTTTTATGACAGAGTGTGTATGGATTCAGGTTATACAAGTAGATGTTGCTTTTTTGTCCACAAGAGTAAGCAGCTTCTCTATGGAACAGAAACTTACTGGCTTTTCTACAAAAGCAACTTAAAGGGGCTTGATTTTTAGAGAACAATGCATGGAAAAAATAACTTTACATGTCTTGCCCAGGTCCCTCTCCTTGATTTCTTTGAGTAAATAATTTCAATTTGTGAAGAGTACAGGTGAAACTCGAAAAATTAGAATATCGTGCAAATGTTCATTTATGTCAGTACGGCAACTCACAAGGTGAACCAATATATGAGATAGACGCATTACATGCAAAGCGAGATATGTCAAGCCTTACTTTGGTATAATTGTGATGATTATGGTGTATAGCTTATGAAAACCCCAAA